CTAACAAGATAACAAACTAAGGAAGGAACTAGAAGAAGCTAGAATCTGGAAGAAGGACCTGCTGTTGAACTGAACGTGCTGATGGTCTTGCTGTAGAACGTGGGCTGCTGGTGCTGAAGGTGTAGGTGAGCTTGCATATATTCCAACAGTTTGGCTTCAAGAATTCTGGTGGTGACATGCAGGACAGTTCGTTCTTGAATGCCTTCGATATAATATCGCATTTTTCCGGTTTTGATCTGTCCGGTCTGTTCAGTAACAATGGTATTCATATCATTAGTGAAATGTACATATCAGCTGAGTATCCAAGGAAAATAATTGAGAAAATTGAGGAGGTGGCTAAAGAGGAAGGCATGAAGGTGACGAAGAAGGAAAAGGGGATTAGACTTCTGGGGAATTTCCTCGTGATGGTGGAGATTAACCGGTTAACGGAAGAACTGGTGATGGTGGAGGTGAAAAGACGTGGACTTGGTCGTGATATATGGAAGGAGAAATTCAAACCACAGCTGAGTGCTTTGATTTATCAGTCGGAGAGGCAGGTTCGCCGGTGACTCAAATTGGTTGGTCCTTTTGCCCTGAATCAACCACTGATGTAATGGAAAATTATTGGTTTGTTTTTTTTTTTTTCCTGTTATTGTTTTTGAATATTCTCAGAATGATAAATGTGAGAATGGTTTGTTTCTTTAAATAGAAACTTTATTTACATTGATTTTTGTTTAAATGGCAGAGAAGTTCCACTACACTTTTGTCTTTTGGCACGTTGAACGTGATGCGATTAAACATGATTAAGAATGAGATAAAATTTGTTGCCTTTTTTATTATGTTTTGATTTTTGACACATTGAACTCTCTAGAGCTAGATATAAAACTAAAATGTGAGAGATGCGATGAAATTTATCAATTGACTAATCAAGTTTTAATTTTTGGCACCTTGAACTCGATATGGCTGGTCAGGATAAGGGTTGTAAATGGATCGGATCTGCCTATATCCGATCTGATCCGATAAGAAAATTATCCGATCCGATCCGATAATCCAACAGATATTTGAT